CCGGGCCGGGCCGGGCCGGGCTGCAGGCGCGTGTTGGGCTTAGGGCCGCCCTTTCCTGGGAAGTGCCCGTTCCCGAGGGACGGGGCGCCTCCAGGCAGGAGCCAGAGAGCCTGCACTCAGGTGCATGGTAGGCGTGGCGGGACACACTTCCCCGCATCGTCTTGGCCTTTCCAACCTTGTGTCCTCTGCAAAGCTTCCACTTCCATCAGCCCTACCTCTTCATTTGTTAATTTATTTGTTTAGCCAGGAGTGAGAGTCCCCACAGCAGCCTGAAACACTACCCAGCTTTCTGCCCTTCCAGGCACCATGTTGCCCCCTTAGAAAGAAAGTTTCACCCAGTTCACGACATCTCCACATCTCAATGAGATGTTTTCAGGCATCACTCAGCACAAAGGCACCACTGTCAAGTGCAGAGATGGACCGCAGACACCTGCCGAGCTAAAGGTCTATGTGCTGAGGTCCGGAACTCTTCACAGGCTTCACTGATGCTGCAAGTCTGTGACTTTCACAGGGAAAAATAATTTCAGATTTTCACTACTTTTTCTTTCAGAAAATGTGCCACCTAGGTGAATTGTGCAGGTCTAAGTAGGCCTTCTCTTACATGTTTCCATGCCATTTGTCAGGCACTAAAGCAGCAAAAAGTGCTTATTTTACGCACTATCCAAGAAATGAGAGTGCTATGGTTTGGGGGTATTACTAGGGGAAAAAAAAAACATGCAAATTGTATGGCAGTGTTTCTAAGCAGAAATTATATGACATATTTTTTTTTGAAAGATTCAGTTGTAAATCCAGAATATACATTGATCCCGCCTTCATTTGATGCCAGTGAATTCAGTGGATATATTGYACCTGCTCTCCAAAGTAGATCTTGTCATTCTAACTGAATGCATTTCTTTGATAAAAGTTAGGTTTTTTAAAACAGTGAAAATGCAAGAGATGCAGTCCATCTGGTTCTGTTTAAACATTTGGTCTTGTCCCATATGTGAAAATATTTAGTTGGAGAAAACAGAAATTTTCACTTCCAGAAACACATATACAAGTTTTTTTGTGTGTGTGAAATAAGTACATGCAACTTTATTCCACCTTAGCTGCCAGACATAAAAATATCCAGCAGCCAGGGTTCAGAGCTTATTTTAATTATTTGTCCATGCTTGCTGTTCTGCTGATTTAATTTATGAATACAGCAAGTCACTTAATGCTATTACTGTAGAGGCACACGTGGTGAACAATTTTATGGCCCAGTCATTATCTGGCTTGAATCAGTTCCAGTTTTCCAAATGAAAAGGTGACAAATTCAATACTCAGTGAATTCAGTGTATTTTCTGTGACTTAAATTGGTTTCTAGTTCTTAATCTGTACTTTATTTTAATTGAGTGCTATTCTAAAATTCAATATATATTTTAAAACATAGCACAAGTAGTAGTTTTACTGATTAATGGTGCCTTATATCTTCTGCTTTTTCCGTTTTGCAGAGTAGGGCTATCTTTAATAARAAAATATGCCATAGTGAGTTCTTACCTTTATGCAATTGCTCTCTACAATGAATATATTTGAATACAAATTATTCAGTTATTATGCAGAATATGCAACCAGTATTTTGGTATGATAGCAAGATTAAAACTTACTTGAATAACAGAAAACATTTTTGCTGACAGAGTTATGTTTATGCAGTGGCAACAAATAACACCTAGATTCATTTGGCATCTGCATAAGGAGGCTCTCCTCTGCTGCAGCTGTTACCCCCCTTCCTGTTGTACATTAAACAAGGACTTGGGCACAAATATGTACAGAGGAGGGGTGATCCTCTCCCCCCTGATGCGAGATCTCACCAGAGGAGTGGCAGGAAAAGTCACACCTGAGGCAGTGGAGGAGAGCAGAACTGCCTTATCCCAGCACATGCATGAAGGTAAAGCTTGATAGCAGCAAAGAAAAGATGTAATTTCTACCTGGTTTGAGCAACAAAACTATCAGAGAAATTGTAACATCTCTCTGGCACTTCATGAAGCAAGCAGTGTGTAATCAGCCCTCATACACAATTTTATCTTGCACTAGGAAATCTCATATACTGATCTCTACCATATTTTGTTTTTTAAGAAGGTGCAAACCTTATACTTACAAGCTCAGCATATTCCCAAATCACAAAAAATGAAGGATATTATCATAGCAGTTAGGCCATTTGGACAGTACATACATAGCTATAACATTAAACGCTATTGGACCGCCAAGGCTTTTAATTGAAGGTCAAATTTTCTTACTCTGAATTTGAAACACTTCTGTCTATATTAAGTTCTCCTAAGATGTTTAGTCCCCCCTGGCATTCTGCACAGACACAATGCTCTGATGTAAGGGACTGTTTCCTCCAGCTGAACTGTACAAGGTCATCTTATTTGTAGCCTTTGGAAAGTTCTTTGGTTGCTGTTTTCATTCCAAGCAGTTAAAGAGCACTTCCATCAAGAGTTGGATGGACAAGGTAAGAGGGAAGCTCGTGTCTGTTTACATAGTAGAACTATGCATTAGATTTCAGATTGAAGGCTAGAATTCAGAGCATTAAAATGTAAAGCTCTCACTAAATAAAGRAGAAAAACCCCACATTTTTATAAGACAAACCCAGTCAGAATTGTGACTTCTGGACGAGGTGTATGAATTTCTCCATTTAAAGTTTCTGAACTAGATTTCCTGTTTTATATTACATATTTATTTCAGTCTGTCTGAAACCCCTGTTATATGGTTGCCTTTTTTAGAACAGAATATCAAATACACCAAGATTACTCTCCACATGATACTGCTGAAATTTACAAGAGAATCACATAACAAACTAGATAAGACTACAGCTTTGTTCATGCGCTGGCTTAACACTGTGAATAGGAATGGTGAGCCATGTCCTACAGTTAATAATTTTGAGCTCTGGAAGCTGAAAGTGATAAAGTTTTAAAATCGAAGGAGATGATGATTTTCTCTTACATCTCAAAATTATTCCCTTTGCCATCTGAACTACCTCAAATTTTCACAATGTAAACAACAGATGTGCAGTTAAGGAGAAAGGGTCTCTTATACTACTTAATAAATTAGCATGCATAAATACAGGGCAGTGCCTGTGCAGTTTCAAGACTTTCTATTGATTAAATATTCAATTATCCTGAGATATTTCAAAATTACTTTTTTTGCATGTCCAAATTTCTGTTTTTATTTCATATGAGGGCATATCTCACGTTAACTAGAAGGATAAAGGTCATTGCTCAAGGAGCTCCATTGTCACAACAGTCTGTGCCAGACCTCTCGTCTGCTGCCTGCCATCCTGCATTTAGCTACCTTGTTCTAGCAACACAGCTCAGCCCAGATCAGTTGGTTTTGCAGYCCCCTCTTTGCAGCCCCTGTTGATCTCTGCTGACTTTAATGTATCTGGCCAGATCTGCAAGGTATTTTAAAACTAACCTTGGAACTGGGTCCGTGCCGAGTTTGCTGGGTCCCCAAGGTACCTGTGTGAGAGCGGCCCTGGTGCTGCCACTGCGAGCACCCTGCAAGTCTCCGGGAAGGAGAACTCGGAGGGCACCGGCGTGGGGCTCTGCGCTGCTGCCAGCAGCCGTCAGGCCGCCCTCCCCTGGACACTTCCATTTGTCTCGTCTGCCCTTGCAGCAGCGCCGCTTCAGCCGCAGCAGGGAGACCAACCAGCGCAAGATCTGTTCCAAGAGAAGGCTGCGTTCCTGCTGCAATCTTCCTTAGTGGTAATTTGGATGTGGAGTGGTTGAGTCTTTGTGGAGTTCCAGACTTCACACTGACCCTGCGATCGGGCAGCTCAGGTGTCACGCAGATGTAAACTTTGGCTGCTAACACAAGTTAATTAGCTTAAACTGTGTTGACTCAGTACGTTCAGAGGAGAAATGTGTTTTTGCAGCACTGTAGATGAAAGATCTGATTGGCAAACACCTCTTGGAACTGCCCTCCACCTCCTCAGTTTTATTTTCTTGCAAGGTTTGGAAATGAGTTGATCCTGATAATCCTGATGTGAAGAAGCTTTGCTGCTTCTGTGGTCACAGGCCCTCCTTCTTGGTTACCTGGTTATCTGCACACCTTGTGCAGGAGGGCTCCCCACTCTGYAGGCTGCATGGGCAGTGCTGTTGAGGGAGATGGCACCTAGAAGCAGGATAGGCCCTTTTGCAAAGACTTTTCAAACTAGTTTTTTTTTCTGTAAGATTGTCATTGCGTAGTAACAGTGCAACAAAGAAAGTGTATTACTGGAACAAATGCAACCTAATTTTGCAGCTTGATAGGTGTTTTAAAGCATCACTGTAAATAATCATTTTGATACTTTTTAAAAAAAATTCTAGATTGCTTTTGCACATAATGACAGTTGGCAAGGATAGTAAATGTGACAGTAATAACAATATTATTAAAATACATTTTTTCTTTTAAAAAGCTTTAGTCATAAACAACAAAACCATGATTGTTTTCAGTATAGTATGTGCAAACAAAGCCTGTTAAACCTTTTTCAACAGTGTTAATGATACCACTCACATTTCCACCAATATGGATAGCTAGATCCTTCATGACTGGCATTAAATATGCTACAGCCATTCCATTAAAGCACATTCCTAATGTTTTGATTATCCTTGACATTCCTCTGAATCACAGAATATAGTGCACAAAGTAGACAAAATTCATGATTTTCTCTTAGCCTTGTAAATGGGTGGTTATTCACAGTCCAGTGGTGAGTTCAGTTTGCCTTTCAGTTTTTATGTCACCTCTGCTGTTACGCTCTCCTTTGTTAACCTCGTTATTATTAAATACATGCTTGAGAGTCCTGCCATTGTTCCCAGGCATTGTGGTCTTTTTTCTTTTTGCACGACCGATGAAACATACGTGTGCACTTATTTTTTATACAGGTATGTGTATGTGTGTTGTGTGTATACACCCATGTGCCTGACAGCACACGCTCAGTCACCCACRGTTACACTTAAGGCAGCTGATGGTGCCTGTGGTAGGAGCAGCAAGATTTCCTGAGCAGTTGTTGTGAGGAGCCCCGGCCTTGAGCAGTGTGGGCATTCACAGCCCCCGGCCTGGGGGCTGCAGCGTCGTCCTGGGGGAACGGGAGCCCCAGGAGGAAGGTTCTTCTGCCCGGAGAATAGGGCACTTCTTTAGGGCCAGGAAATCGCAGCTGTGGCAGGAACACTGTTTCTTAAGACCAAACCCTTCCCTTCAGAGCACTGTGACAGCCTTTTCCACATTGAGAGATGTGTTTTCCTGTGAGATGGATTCAAGATGTTGTGTCTTTATAGAATGACGCCTTAGCATCTTGTTATAGGCCAAGACACTGCATGGATAATTCAGATCTTCAAATTATGTTGCCTCTTTTATCCTTAGGAGCAAAAATGTGCTGAACAACCTGCTGTAGTTGACCATGTTTCCAATTGAGTCTAGGTGATCTTTAGATGTTTCTTCCAACCTCAACAATTCTATGATTTTATGTGCACTGTATTTAAGGCATACATTGTCTCCAATTATAAACTGCATGGCCTTTGTTTATGAAATAAGTCAGTAGCTTACATTTACTGTTAAACAAGGAAGGTGTTTAATGCTTTCCGACAGTTAAGATAATGAAACACTTCATCACCTATGAAAGATAAATTGAAATAATCTCTGTGGTCACATTCTGAAAACTGATCTGAGAACTGATCTGCCTTTTGTCTCTCCATTTTTTTTTTCTGTAAATCTTCTTAAGCATCTTCTTGAAGATGTTAAATTCAGGCAGTGGTAGTACTTGAATTTAAACAGCCTCAAGGAGCAGTGGCTAGTATTTTCTTTCCATCTAATGCATTTGCCCTTGCGGGTTGCAAGGCCCTTTGGCCTCTCCCTGCCATGCTGGTGGAAATGTCCGGGTTTCCYCGCGGGCCTGCTCTGTGTGAGAGGGGGTGACGCTGGTGCTGGGGGGATGTCGTGGCGGGCGGGACGGCGCCTCGCYGCCCGCGTGGGGTCCCGCAGGAGCCACGAGGAGGAGGGCGGCCCAGGAAGCGCCGCTGCGCTCCGCCGCGGCCTGCGCTTCAGCGCGGCGCGCCGGGAAGGCGGCAGGGCCGAGCCGGCAACGCGGCGGCGCGAGGCCGCGCCGCTCACCGAGCCCCTCTCCGTAGCAGCCCGTAGCCACGTAAGGTGAAGTGCAGCATTGCAGGAAAGAAGGAACATGTCAGCCTGYTGCCCTCAGTGGCGCAAGGAGGCTGCTCTGAGCTAAGCTCTGAGTCTCCATGTAGCTATATCCAAATTCCAGCGCTCTCTCCACCCCTCCCCATGTGACTGGGCACCAAAACATGCCATGTTTGTGACTGGGCACCAAAACTTGCCATGTTTGTTCTGGCGCATCTTGCGCTTGGCGGGTGCTTTTGAAATGCTGTCCTTTCTGAGCATGCTTTCTCATCTACAGCAGTCTTAACACATCTATCAACATATAGTAACGTATGGGGAAACTAATTGTGATTTTTAGGGGAAAAAATATTTGTTGACTCTTTCACTCTTAGCATTGGTCTCCACTGTATCTGTTTTCCAGATGAGTCACCTTAGCCCTCGGTATCCCAGTTCTAACTATTCTGTTTTGTGGMTGTAATTTAGAAATGCAAGAGCCCTTTCAAAAGCTTTTTAACATGATTACTGTCATTTGGAACATCTGCCTGACAAACCTCTACATTAATTGCTGATGAAGGACATACAGTTTTCATTTCTTATGAGATTCATAAGTCTAATTCCAGGAATCCTTAATCCATGAGTGATTTTGCATTAAATAAAGAATTATCCCTTGCCTCTTTTTTTTTTTCCTTCCCCTAAAAGATTTCTGTATTTACTTATTTAATGAAGAAAGAATATGTAGGAGTAAAGAGGTGCAGAGCAGAGATGTTTTTAATCACAGTCTTTGTCAGTATCTTTGAGGGACAGGAATGAGTAGTCTTATAATCACTCTGGGTCTTGCAGCACCTCCATAATCAACAGATTATGTTCATGGCAGCAGGGCTAAGTGGCAATTGACCTATTTTTGCAAATAAATATGTAAATACATCTGAGATGTTGCTAAGTATAAAGCCTGCTTCCTGAGGTGTGTTTCAATATCCATTTTGTAAAGCAGAAGATGAAAAAATCTTGAAGCCAAAAAAGGTGGTTTTTTTCTTGAAAGTTCTAGGTGTCAGGGCTTTTAGAGTTTGTGTGACTGATCATTCAGAGATGCATTGTAGAATGTAAAGTTGAAAGTCAGAGCTAAAAAATCAGTATTTGAACAAGGCTGTGTGAATGCAGAATGATGCACAAGGATATATGGGACYAAAATGATTCCTGTGTGGTTTAAATGAGTTTAACTGAATTGCTTCAGCAATGTTATTAAGAATTTCCCTAACTTAAATCCCCCCTGCCTTTTGTATTTTCATTTAATTCTTGGGAGATACTTCAAGCAGAATGAGCRTATATCTTATTTGGGATTTAGAAAAGGAATGGGGAAGTCCAACTCCAATATTGACRGCACAATTATGGCCTTGAGCCATCCAGACTTTTAGGGCCTGTTCTCTATGAGAACTTCCAGAGAGAAAAAAAAMAGGCATGACTAAAGCTGTCAGATGTGGGAATTAACAGTTGTACTACAAACTCCTGTTGTTAGAAAAAACTTGTAGCAAAAAGAGAAAAGAATTCTGAAAACCAGGCTCACATTTTTCAAATAACTCCTTTCTGGGGAGTTMTAGTGTTAATGCCACAGGAAATACCCAAGTCTCTTGTAGCTTAAGAAACATATAGAGTGTACTGCTTTTTTCAGTAGTGACATAAAAATGAGTCATACACTCATACTTTAATATGCTAAATTCAGCAGACTGTAGGCTATTTAGTGTATTACTTCAGTTGATTTCACTCTGTTTAATTCCAGGGCTCAGCAGTCTTGTGCTGCAAATACCTATCAGCTTTATTAAACACAGAAAACGATGCTGGTGAAATAAGGTGAGATACTGTGGTTCAGGGGATGCAGAAGGAATGATTTCTGTACAGACTGCAGACCACTGAATACACGGGTTCGTAACTGTATGTTTATGAACAGGTATGGTGTGGCTAACACGATGGTAATTGTCACCCGCTGCCTGCCTGTGTACGTAAAGACTCGTCTGAAAAAGCACTGAAACATTTCATGCTCATTCCGTCTCGGAAACTGCCAATCCAACTCAGAGAACTCCTTTTATGACGCTGACTGCTTGTCTGGCTTTGGTCACCAAAGCAAGGCAGAGATTATTTTACATATATCAYATGTGCTTTAACAAAAACAGTAATTGTATAGAACATCGTGCAGAAAACTAAGTAATAAGTAGTAGATCAACATTTTAATTGGGGAAGGGGTGATTTTCATGTAATATAATGAAATAGCTGAACAAAATGTACTTCGCTATACTTCACTTTCTAGTATGACACATTTCTCTAATGAAATTTAGGTTTTATATAACAAGAGGAAGCCAAAAGGTCTTCAAAAATAATCTCTATGTCTGGAGAGCACTTACTGCCTGAAACTATTTCAGAGTATACCTAGCAAATGGCATAGGGATTTGTCGTTGCAGCACAGATATGCTAGAAAATAAATGGACAATGCTGAGGCACGCTTAACGTTTTTTGAACCTAAGAGTATCCCAACAAAACCAGTTTGTTAATGGCAGATTACAGGTATTTGTATAAATGTAAGCTTCTCTTCACAGAAAGTGGATTTGGCCTGCAAAATGGGAATGGAATCTTTTTGCTTATACTACAAAGAGGTTTTATACATCTTACTAGGGAGTATGGCTTTGTTACGACAGAGCTATATGAGAGATTATAATGCATTCATATATCATCCATAAATAGTTTCATAACCCCTTATTTACAACTCTGATGAAATGCTTGGACAGAAAATGAAATGAATGTGTATGGCCATCATTTTGCTAACAATTTGTAGAATTATACTTGTAAAAAGGAAAAAAAAATGTGTAATTTYAATCTGCATGCTTCCCAGCAAGCCAGAATTAAATCCCTAAGCACTATCAGGAGTAGGATTTAAGATATAATCCTTTCCTCGTTACTTCCTACTGGTAAGTTAGGCAGTTCCTGCTCTATGAGCAGGCTTTTATGGATGTGCCTTTTCCTCAGTCATATGGCTTTCTTCTTATATTTTACAAGGAGCTGTCAAAACACCCAAAATGAGACCTGTGAATTCTACTAAGCATCTGGACTCCTGAACTGGGCACTGAAAGCAGGCTGCCTGTGGCAGCTTTGTTTAGTTATCTAGCCTCAAGGATGAGGAACCCTTGGTCCTAGTTAAGCCATTTAATGACATCAAATAAAGGAGGAACTTACACCCTACATGTTACAGCATATAAATGTGCTTACAAATGCATAGAATTTGGTATTTGTTACAAGAAGTGCTCTAAGCAGCAGAGCTTCAAAGAGTTATGTGTCTTTGGAACTTCTTGGAACTTTTGCCAAAGACTTTGCCAAAATGATGATCTCTGTATCCGAGTTTGATATGAGCTGTTACAGAGCATCWTGTGTCTACGAAATCTGGGGTACAGATCAAATCTCCCAAGTTAATGTTTTTATTCTTTTTTTTCTTTTGTTTTGTTTTTCTAAGAACTTTCACAGCTTAAGGACTGCATTCCACTTTCTTATGAAACCTCCCATAGCCAGAAGTGCTACTCTCTGCCTCAGTGTGGTAAACCTTCTCTTTCCTTCCTTATTCTCTATATCTGATTGRGTTAATCACTTCCAGTTCCCAATGGGATAGTATGTTGCGAAATGCCAACAGGAGTGCTCTTTCACTTACTTACACTCTGCYCTCTTATTTAGAACCACGGTGGAATTATCATCCAGAAATATTAATTCAATGTAAGGTTAGTGAAGTCGAAAACAACTATGTGCCATTCTGTGTAAAGCTTAGAGCAGCATTCTTTTTTAAGAGGCTGACACTTTTTCATACTTTTTTAAGTTTAAACATCCATGTTGATGTTCTGAATCAGTGATATTAGATTTTTATGCATCCACTGAAGAAGACTAACAGTAGTTTACTTACGGGAGATTAGACTGGTATATTCTAATTTCTTTTATTATTATTTTTTATTATTATTGTTATTTTTTAATATGTGAATTTACCAGAGCAGCTCCCCATCCACACCTCAACTGCCCTCAATTCTTTCTGTCATCACTTCCACACAAGCTGAACCTTGCAGGGCAAATACTGGTGCACGGTTTTGCAGCAACATGCAAGCCCTCAGCCCGTGCATCTGGGCAATAGGGTGGAGAACGAACAAGTTGGTACAAGTATTTCAACTGTTTTATCCTGAAAGTAAGAGCCTTCTGAGTGCTTTGCGTAAGCATCATTATCATTCAACTTAACTTCAGTACTAGAGCAACAATTTGCTTCTCCTTGGGAAACATGATAAGTTGCTCTAACCYGCTTCACTTATCTGCTGGCACGTAACCTACTTGCTAAAAGAAAGAATTACTGAGCTACATACAAATAATACAGTGTTTTTCCTGTAAGGAAAAGCCTTGCAGCTCTGTAATCCCAAGCTCTGTGTCTTTCCTGCTTTATATTCTTGACATCACAACCATCCTACCTCTGGTGAGGGGGCACAGAGCTCTTAGTAGCCCTTGAAAACAGGCAGACTGCCCAGACTGTCAAGGTTACGCTGAGAAATAGAGGGGAGCATGGCTGTGACACAGAGAGAGGCCGGCGGAGTTGGGAGAGTCTTACTGCAGCTTTCGTATGCCGCAATACACACTGCTGTCATGCACCGGCATCAGCAATCCGCTGCCCTGGCAGCGGCTCAGACATGAACGGGAGCACGTTTCTCCTCCTCTCATGCTCTTGCTTCCCTCTTTTACCAGCCTCCTGCACACAGAAATATTCTTTGCTACCTTAGGTACTTGAAGTGTAAGCAACTGAAATGGTGATATTCCCACATATCCTATTTTTTTTGGTCACTTCTCCTATTGTATCTAAGTAATAGAACCTTTTCATTAATGCCAAGACTAGGATCAAATTTTGTAAAGCATAATTTAAAAAGTGGTAAATCTGATACCAAATTTGAATTAAAAGCATTAGCATTTGATTTCATTAAGGTGGTTGATGTTCTGTTACAAGATTACTGTTATATTATTACAAAGTCAAGATGCTGCTGAAGATATCAGACTCTATTTTTAAAAAAGTTATTAAAGTATATTATTTGCCATAGGACATGCATATATTTGTAAATAAATAGTAAGAGCTAAATACATTAAAAAAAAAAAGTAAGYAAAAAGGGATCCTGAAGGAGTGTCAGCTTACAATTAAAAGTGGTAAAATGGACATAAAGAGGTAAAACGGTACTTAAGCAACCAAACCTTTCCTCAAAAGTATAAACTCATTTGTGAACTTTATTGCAAATACTCTTTTTTTCTTAAATTTTCAKTTGGTGGCTAGAAGACTGCAACTATGACTAGAACAGAGTAATGCTATTCAGGAGCAACTGAGCGGAATTAGCAGCAAACAGAACAACTTCCTGTTGTAGACAGCAGTTTTGGGAACTGCAGAAATAAACTTATAGAGTGGGACTGCTCAGGAAAGGCTGGACCGTAGTGGCCCCTCCATTCTGTACATATTTCTTTTCATTTTTATGTCAACATCCAGCATGGAGCTGCTGTGTCAATTGCAAAATTGCCAGCTTATTTATATTGACAATCCCACGAACAATATGGTACTCAGAAACATAGGCAAGATCTTTGTATAATTTCTACTGTATCTTTGTYGTTTATAAGGAGACAGTTTATAGTTTGTATAGTTTCTTATAGTTTTTAAGAAAAAATGAATGAAAATGTTCTAACATCTTGTTTATAAACAAATATGAAAGAAAAAAAATGATTGCATCCTGATCTTTTATGATAGGGCTTTTTCACTCCCCAGTCATGCTGGAAAAGGGTCTTCTGATGTCCAGTGTTCAACAGAATCCCTTTTACAGTACACTGTGATCCTGCTTGTGGATGTTAGGTCAACAAATAGAAGCTGGCATCACAATCTGTTAGAAGACGGTATTGTCCCTATATTTTTGTTGCATGAGAACCATATTGAAAAAAAATCAAACAGATTTTATACAATCAGAGTTAAATCAAATCAAGACACTATGGAGCTTCTTTTAAATAAATTTATACTTTATTTGTAAACTTTAAAAAAGCAGTATATTAGAACATGATTTAGAATTTTAAAAATTCTGCTATATTTTAGTACCCATAAAATAACAATCCCTAACAGTAAACAAAAGTGAAGAAGCTATTTGTTAGTCAGTATATATGATATAAAGTGCTAGTATTATTGTTTTAATCACTCGTTTTCCCTGTTAAGTATGCATATTGTCTCTGCCTACTACTGATCTGTTACTACACAAATTATAAAGTATGGCTTTTCTTCAGAATCTGACACTCTAACCAGCTCGTTTACAAATAAAAGAAAGAACACAGATTATGACAAAAGTCCTTGCAGTGATGTTGGTATAAACCTTTTAGTTTCAAGTTTGTGTGGAAAGCATTTTCTGCTTCCTTCTATTTCTTCAGATGTTCTATCAAAGTTCTCTCTGTAGGGGTTGTTTCTTCCTACAACACAACCACTTACCAAGTCTGTATTTTGTTAAAATATATATTCAAAAGATATTTTTTATATATAATGTATACCTCTATATATATAAATGAAGTGGAAACTACAGTAGATGAGATGTTTGTAACATATTTTCTGTCAAAGTAATAACCTTTATCACCATATACTTGTTATTTTTTGAGTCCTTCTAAGCATCATTTTGTATTTCTCTCGCTAAAAAACTAAAATAAACTGGCAGACTCTGAGCATTTAAATTCTGTATTTAAGATAAAATAGATCAAAGATATGTTTTACAAGTCATTTGGTTATATTTAGTCTCAAGAGGTAGAAAATAATTAGTGATCGATAATGATCAAATCAGGAAAGACACAAGATATATCTGCTTTTTAGTATCAAATATATAAAATGTTATTTTTTATAACTATATATAAATACTGGTGACTAAACTTATCACTTCTTGCACAGTAACTTGTATAGTCTGTCTCTTAATAACCTAATTAGATTAATTAAAGTTTCATTTGTCCAGATAAGATCCTCTCATGTATTTCTTTGGTTAATGAGACATATGCCTGCTTAGAACGATCTAGAAAGTAAAGTGGATCAGTGATTGCAGATGGATCAAACCCTTCATCCACCAAACGAAATTTCTGTTGTTTGAAAGTTCCAGTAATTTCCATTGTTTGCTATGGAAGAAAGAAAGATTTATTGCTTAGTAAATATACCGAGTTAGTTTGCTTAGTAAATATACTGAGTTAGTTTCTATTGCTCGTGTTCACATGTATTTTAAGAAGTCTTAATTGATTCAAGGGTAATTCTATTCACTTTCATTGCATATTTCGTAATGTTTTGTTCAAGTTTCTTTTCAACATCAATGTTTCCCTTTAGAGGTGGGAGGCATCTGCAGTAAGATTTCATTTTGCTATCTTTTTTTCTAAACTTTGCCATGCTTTCAAACTACTATGAACAATACAAAACTGCTCTTTCTTTCCCTTTTCGTTTCACTTCAGTCATGTCTAGTACACCTCCTTTTTCTTGTTTCCTGTCACAAAAACAGATGACTTCCATCTGCCTTTCTGTGTTTCTCTAACACATCCATTTCTCCAGTAATCCCACTGTCTCCCTACACATTTTCTTCTTACATGCGCGCATTGGCCAGGTCCTTTCTGTATTCCAGACAAGTAAGATGTAGCCTCTTCCCTCAAAAATTTGTATTCCAGAGACCACTAACCTTTTGTGGTGACACCAGTGAACCATTTTTTCATTTTAATCTCAAATGTCACTGTGCATAAGATTTACAATCAATCTTGGATTCAACAACTCTATTTTAATTTTACACCATTCCAGTTAAGTCTCTGCCACTGCAGAAAAAAGGACTTTTTTTCCTTTTTTTTTTTTCTAAAATACTCCTGCAGAATTCCTATTTTTTTCTGAAATACTAGTTCAAGCATTACTTGCCTTCTCGAGCTGTTAGCAGTGCATTCATTAATTTTGCTTGTGACACTACCGGTTTTCCCTTGGACTTCTGAGACTTTGTTGTTTTCCTCTCTGTCTTCCTGTCCTCTCCCCTATACTTTATGATCTCTGTCATCTACTCTTCTACCTTTACATTTACAATATATGTATACATACACATATGGCATCTTAAATTACATTTAAATTATGAGGTTTTTGAAGGAGAGACTACTTTTTTTATTCCAAACTGGATAGCAACAACAGCAAGGTAGGAGAACACAATTAGGGATGATAGCTGTAATGATGGTGACTATAATAAACAAACACTTTTAATTCAGAACCAATAAATACTGTACCTCTTCAAATGGTTTAGCCTTTTTGCAGCTGTATTACACTGCAAATGACATCCCATTTATTGTGCATTAACAGTGTGTCCTCCTGCCTCAGCTTTACTTCTCTGCTTTCTCATTTCCCCTAAATAAAATAGATTTTAGATTATTTTCTCCAAATGCAATAGTTCTCGTTCTGCTAATCTAAATCTTTTTGTGCTTCTAATCTCCCTAAATCCTTTTGTATGATCTCTATCCTTACTGATATACGCAATTCCTCCCAATTTAACATAATCTGCAAATTTCATTAAGTGTTTTGTAATTCCTCTTCAAGACCTCATTAATGAAGAGAATAAAAAGAACCAGTTGAAAAAATACCAAAAAATACCAAAAAAAAAAAAAAAAAAAAAAAAAAAGGCTAGACTGCACTAGATTACATGATAGGTGAGGAAACACTCTGTTTATGTTTGCCATGCTGACTTATATTATACTATTGCTACGTTTATGCAGTGTGGATATTTATAGGCATGGTAGAGCAGTTTACCTGCACTCTTAAGAAGAGAGGACAGGCATAACTGGGTAGATAGGTCACAACTTGCTTATATATCTGCTCCAAATCTAACACTGTATTCTTCTTCAAAATAAGAGAGGCCATTCCTGCTTTCCCTTCATGAGCTGGAGGAAAGAAGGGAGACATAAAATTTTATAGATTAATAAAATCTAAATTTTTGTCATTAACCTTACCTTCAGAAAGAACTATAGCATGTGAATAAGTTCAAAGTAATATTTCCTTTTCTGACATTCAGTAATTCAAGCAAATAGTATCTATCTTATATGTACTGTATGTACCATGTGATATTGCATCTTTTTGGAGACTGAACTGTTAGAGTTAAGAAATAATGCCATAAACAAATTAGACCTGTAAGCATAAATTGAATGCCATCTATCTAAATTCAGTATTAATCAATACATGTTGATAAATATCAACACAATCCCTTTCTCTCAAAAACAGAGCACTGAACCCTGTCCAAGATTTGTCTGTTACATCTTCTCATCAGTTCTCATCTTTCTCTTCACTAAGGGCTGTGGAGCTGAATGTTTTTAGCTGAGAGAGAGCAAAAGTGTCAAGAAGCCCTAACTGGTTTGTTTGGGAAAGCAGACAGCACTTCGTGTCTGTGGAAAAAATCTGACATAGGTAAGATATTATAAAAACAATAAAATTCAGCAATCAACTGGTCATTTTAAGCATCAGCTGGCAATAACAACAGACATATTCTACTATTGCCTTCTTACAATCCTTTTCTGGTAATGCTACAACTTCTGTGGTGAAATTATTTTGTGCATGTATAACTACAGTTATCAGGACAGAGAAATCTGTCCTGTTAATGCGATTAATAGATGGCTTATTAGGCACAGCTAAAGTGAGTTAGGACAACAGAATTGCTTTATTTAGTAATGAATATCCTTTTCTTTAGAGTAACTTTAATTCTTACCTTGTTGACATGATGATATTCTGATGTGGACTTTTCACAGCTGTAAATTTAATAATGCTTTAAACTAAGTTATCACAAACTCATGCAAGAACAACTTTTCAAAAATATACATCAAAACGCATGATTCACGGACTCACTCCGTAATCTGTTGGCATTTTTATTATCTGCAGCTACATACTGTTTAATACATTGAGGTATTAAACAGCTAACTCTATCAGAAGTTATGTGTAGGTTTACAGCATGAAATAAAATTATGAGGGTTAGCAACAAAATCTTGAGGAAAACAAGACCACACAGCTAACAACTATTTCTCTTACCTGGCACAGATACACCATACACATTTGCTTCTTGTATGAAGTCCAACATTACCATCACATCAGAAACTTCAGTGGTTGCAACATTCTCCCCTTTCCATCTAAAACAGGCAAAGAAAAATTTAATTGCACGCAAGCATATGGACAGTTACTCTTAAAAACACTAACTTCATTTTGTATCAGTAACACCTTATATTCGTTTCAACTCGTCACCTTTGTTTASAGGCCTGATGACCAGAAGAGTGCGTTTATCATTGAAATGGGATTGGATATTAGATATCACTTAAAAGGATGAAAGCTTATCATAATCTCAAATAACATTTGTCAAATGCGATTGTTCTTCAATATTTGACACATTTTTTTCTAATTTGCTATCCAATTTTCCTTGTTCCTAGCAATCTATCATTTGGTAGTCTGCTTATTGGCAAGAACATTCAAAATGCTGTAACTCATCCAAAACCTCCTCAAAATTAGACAGTTTGCTCTGCTGGTGTTAAAATATAGTTATAAATCAAACATTCATGGCTGAAAACAAGCAAAATAGTACTATTCTATTCTGTATGTGTATGCTTTTTAATGATGAAATATTGTAAGAATGAATGATTATACCTGAAGGTATCTCCAATCCTGTCCCAAAAATAAAGAAAATTCTCTTGGTCTTGAACCATCAGATCCCCAGTATTAAAGTAAAGGTCTCCCTTCTTAAACACATCACAGAGCAGTTTCTTTTCTGTGTGACTCTTATTGCCAGCATAACCAAAGAAGGGGTTCTTTGCATTGACTCTGGAAATGAGAAGACCAGCCTCACCTACAYAGAAAAGTTGAAATAAGTGTAAACATAAGATATCATCATTTATTTCCTGTATTTTATCTTAATGTTAATTTGCTGCATATATCTTTAAAAGACTACCAGCGACGTTTGGACCAACTTTAAGTAAGTGTGGCCCCATCGTAGCAGCAGCTCATCTGTTTCTACTGCTTTGGCAGCTTTTGTAGTCACTTCTACACACAAAGTGACCATAAAGTTACAGAGTAATATTGCCAACTCAGGAAAAACAGTATTTTATGTTTATTGATTACTMAGTAAAACATTGTATCTCAGAGAGGTGATCCATCATCTTTTCACTCATTACTCTCACAAAGTGAGAATGCTGAAGTCAGTGAATATGAAACCTCATTGCAGTTATGGAACTGCATTTGAGAACACTTCTGAAGAAGTTCATTAATGTGATAGAGCATCATTGCTTTCTTTTCAGAGTCAGATACAGAAATTGTAATATAAAGTTGACTCAAAAAACAGGGAGACCTGGGGAAAGGATTATCCTGTTAGACACGTATGGCATTGCTGTGATAGTCTGCTGAAAGCAAATGTTTTCTGAACTCCTCACCATTGCGGAAACAAATTCTGAACAATAAAACTTAAGGGTTACTTAAGTAAGATTAATCACTTTATTAGGGACAATAATTATACCAATAAAAATAAATACAAATTAAAAAAATATACAAAGGACTTTTCAATTTAAGATCATCTTCTCCTGAAAGAACTGTGCCTTGCTCCCAGAAATCAGTATTGTCTAATATGGAAAAATTTAGTTCATGTCGCTTTAGCCATGATGGTCTAAGGATATTACATATGGGTAAGGCAAAGTCTTTGATAGAGATGATAGCTTTAATTAGACTATTGTAACTGGGAAAAAAAAAAAAAAAAAAGGACAGAGCTTTGGGCACGTGTACCCTTTTTAGACCAGTCTGCTGTACTTCCTGTAAAATTTTACCCCCATATATCTTTTGAGGACCATATTCTCCTGAAATGTGCCCAGCTTTGATTAAGACTTGCTAGACAATCCACAACCCACTTTGAAAAATCTGCTTCAGCTCCCTGTTAAAACTATGGGCCTAATTTTCTATATGAATTTGTCTCACTTCAGCTTCCTGGTGTTAGTTCAGCTCATACCTTCCTGCAGTACCACAGAGATACTTTGGTATCTGATAAAGACTGAAAATATGTATAATGAAGAGATAATTGATAAGGTATTTTGAAAAGTTATAATCGAATTACTTCTTTTAAAAAAGCCAAATGGAGAAGCACTTTATCTCTCACCAAAGAGCATTTAATGTGATCCACCAGGTTTTCTTGTGCGTCTTTTAAACAACCATCTCAATATGTTAACCTCCTGTTAAAAACCCCAAATCTCCTTACCTGCGTATTCAGAGATACTATTACTTAATTGTAGGGCCCCACTCCAAGGACGGCAGTACAGAGTCTGGCAGCAAGCAGGATGCCTTGGTAGCAGGTAACCAACTTCAAGGCCAACAATACTTGTTCCATCAGCGGACCAAAACCAACGGCAGCTGCCCAGCTGCTGCGTGACCATGAAACTGAGTGGACAGCAGCTGTGGCACACTTGCTTTTAGGCAAGAAAGGTATTGTATTCGGGGCCTTATAGGTAAATGTACAAAGGATTGGGTGGTACCTCAGATGTGTGAGCCGGGCACACCAGGACTGGCAGGGCGGATATGTAAAGCATGTGTGTGGCTCGCGTGATCTCTCTTGTAAAGTATATAAGGATTTGTTGATTGCGAAATAAACGCTACTGGACCATCCCACCGGTCGCCCCTGCTCCTTTCGTGCCACCGCCACACTTAATCATTTTTGTACATTGCTCTTCAGTGAATACATCCAAGGATGTCATAACTTCCGATATCAGCACTGCTGTGCTTAATACTGCTCTGCCTTCGGTCTTGAAACACACTGTTCCTTTTTTAGGAGCAAAGAGTAGAAGTTGATGTTGGCATGGGTAGTGCAGTAACACAATAGCAAGGCTCCCAAAAAAAAGGATCCAGAGTACTTGCATTAAAATCAAAAGGCTGTTACAGGCTGTTACAATGCATACTTACCTTTCTTAACTTTCTCACACCAACCATGCTTATTTCTAACAGGTTCATCTTTTTGGAAATCATACTTGATTAAATCAAATGGGAAAAAAAGCTAAGAAAGTGAAAAAAGGTCATCAGTTATTAATATGCACAGTGACATCTGGTGGCAGCAAACATAAGCAAGGAAAACCTTTTTTTACTGCAATCTTAATCATCAAAATGTTGAATGCAATTTCACTTAAAACTGCAAAATATTCTACTTAGAYGACTTACTCTAGACAATATCAGAACATTTTAATAATCTGTAATGCTCGGAAGTATCCTGTTTCACCTTATTGATGAGGCTCAGGTTTTTACCGGACTGGCACAGCCTTATGTTGGATACATACTGCTCAGCAAACACTTCATGAAGTATTTGCAGCAGCAACTGATACTTGCTAAGCATTCCCAGGGCTTTCTGGTTCCCAACAAAACATGCAGACAAAGGTCTCCAACTCCTTGTAGAGGGAAACCAGCTCCCTGTTGTGTTTAACTAGCCCCCATTCTTCCCTCCAGCTTTCTCGGCTTGCCRTATCCTGCAGAGCACCGCCATGGGCGCAGACAGGAAGATATATATTCCCAGGTTTTCTGGTGTGGTTATGTAGCTGAGTACATTCCATGGAAACGTCAAGGTCAGTCCTGCTTTGGAAACAGCACGAACCCCAGAGCAGAGCGCCCACACTGCTGGCCTGGCTGGGGTCACCCAGGGAGCCCCAGGTACCTCAGCACTGCTCTCCTCCAAATAGGCAAGGTCTGACCCTCCTCGATTTTTCCACTGGATATACACCCCAAATTAAATCTATCCCTAGACCTATCCCTGATACTATACGGACTGCTATGTTTCCAGTTATTTTCCTAGGGATTCAGTCTACCCAGCTCTGAAATCTTCTGATTTTTCCTTTTTCAAAGAATTGTATCAGCAGTGTATGACATGACCACACTAACACAGTATATATAATTATCTCACTTTGGAAAAGCAGAAAGACAAAAAAAAAAAAAGAAAAAAGAAAAAAAGAAAAAAAACCCCAAACCCCTGCTGCTATACACCTGTACCTTTTATAGTAAGAAATGGAATCTAATGAGGATGACTGAAACTAATGCGTAGGATGCCAGGACATCAAACGCTTAACTTCCCTGCAATAAATTAGGATGAAGAGTTGAATAATGATTTTATCCTAATTTTACATGTTGCTGCAGCTACGTCACATCACTTTATTCTCAAGGATGACTGATTAAATAGCAACTTGAAGCCAAACATTAAGACTGCAGATTCAATTTCATGTTAAATGTGATTATTGAGTCTTGTCAAAATTCACCACTGTATCTCACTTCTCCCCAAAGTCTGTCACAAAAAGAAAAGATATTTTTAACTGTTGCCAAAGGACAAGGTTGTAGTGTGAAAATTCAAGTCATGATCCAGGATGAGATACTCTTTTCTAATAAAGTGAAGGAGATTTTTTATAACTATAGACTGTAACATTTAGCAAGGTCGTGAGGTTGAAAGTTGAAGAGTTTAATTAAACTACACTGAGAGGTATTCATAATAAGTAGAAGTCTTTTTATTTTTTTTTCCCCTTGRGATGTCTTCTTTGACTTTATCCACTTGATTTCTATTTATTTCTAATTTATTTTGTTTTTACACATTGATAATTTACTACTKTGATAGATCTTTATATGACAGACTGAATGCAGTGAAAAACATAAACAATAACAATGGAATAGTATAAATGAATAAACACGAGTGCCCTGTTCAGTTCCATTTTTATATGTTCATTGCTTTAAAGCTTAAACTGTATTTTACCAATTATGCTAAATCTGCATGATACATTTTTTTGTTTTGAATACTCAGAAGCTTTAATTGGTATTTGAGATCATCAAGCAAAAGCTCTTGTGGGTTTTGCTTTTTATTTTTCTCCTTACACCTTTTAGTGCCAGCAATTTTAGTATTAACTAAGCCAGTTCCAATTAGCCCTTTGAAATAAGCGCCACACAAATATGCGGGTGAAATGAGAACACATGTTGCATCAGACCTGTTCAATGAAACTGTATGCCAACACACACCTTTTGTGCAAACCACGCTATGTATGCAAACAACTTTCTTTTCATTGTGAGTATTAGAAAATGCAAGCAGTAGAGCAAAACGTTTAATCTAGCTACAGGCATACATCTGTCCTATCTGATTATTTAAAATTATTGGAAAATAGGGCCTGAAATATTGAAGCATTATCATATTCTCAGAGCATACTGCATGCAGTGTTCATCTACTTTTGTCTATACTTTTTTCCCCAAAGCACTGTGTAAATGTGTCAGACAACGAACACTATTATTTGACGAGTTGAAACTCGCAGTAAGGTAAACTGCACCATATTGTTGATTACTAAGTCACCTGGATCTTGTCAGCCAATGACATCACAGAACCTGATTTATTTTTTTGAACCGTTTGACTGGAAATAAGTGAGCTTAAATATTGTTTTGAAAATGCTTTTGGAATTCTTAAACTTTAAAGAATGATTAGAGAAGCTTCATCAAAGAAAGATCACAGGCTGTTATATTTTATTTAGTTTCTTTTTTGTTTTACAGTTGATAGTGTTGATAGCTGTTTATAAAATGAAGTGTTACTATTATCAGACTCATGCCCAACCATCTTGAAAAAGTGAACTAATAGAAAAAAAATCTGGAGCACAGATGAGCAACATCATGTTTTAAAAATATATTTGTAATGTTTTATTTATGCTTAAGAACTGGATATGCAGGTGCTCTGCATAGCTTGGTTAGCTACAGCAGGCAAACAAACAAAAGCAAAATAGCTTTTAAATTCTTGATATTAACTGAACCACTGCAATATATTACAAGTAGATATCCTGGAATATACTTATGTACCTTAAATTATTTTCGCTCAAAACTCAGCAGTGACACTAATTTTCTTTTCTGCTGTCTGTTGGGCCCTGAGCTTAAGTACATCCATTGCTTAGATTAAAATATGCCAAGGTTTTTCCTATCGATGCAAATTTCCAGAGTCTTAAGACTGATTAACGTTGACCTCAGCTTTTGTTTCTATATTAAAGTGCATCTCTTCTGCCATTTAAGTCCTCTTTTTTCAGGAGGCATTAAAAGCTTCTTTGGATCTCATCAGTTCTATTCTCTCATAATACTGTCTTTGTTGTCACATAGCATATATATGTATATGACACAGAGAGGGACTTAACATATCACAGAATCACAGAATATTCAAGGTTGGAAGGRACCTCTAGAGATCATCTAGTCCAACTKCTCCAGCAGGGACACCCAGAGCACGGGGCACAGGGCGGCATCCAGGTGGGTTRGGAAGATCTCCAGACAAGGAGACTCCACAGCCTCCCTGGGCAGCCTGTGCCAGGGCTCTGGCACCCTCACAGGAAAGAAGTTCCTCCTCAGCCGGAGACAGAACTTCCTGTGCTCCAGCTTAGGAGCACATATATATTTAATTATATATATATATATATATATATTTTTTAACATATATAATAAGTGCCACTGAGCCTCTTATGGCTTTCTCCAGCCATCATATTTTAGTATGTATATAAGGTATATCCTACGCTATTTATATTGATCATATTGACGATATATGTATGAAAGCCACATGCATTAAACATTAAATGTGCCATATTATTAGGTCAATCTGTACATTGACTTTGTGAAGCATTTCAAGAGATGCAGCTAAAAAGCTATTCAGGGGTTCCTACTGTTCTGTTCTTCAAGTCTATGAGGACATCCTTATTGAAGGATTTATTCATATATCACGGTGATGTCTTCAAGCATTTAACGCCACCCCCCCCCCCCCCTTTATACAAGTAGAGTGAAAATAAACACTCAGTGCAAACACTGAGTCAGCACCTCAAATGCAGCGGCCTTTTGGATGTCTATTGCAATCACTCACTTGTTCCCACTATCTAGAAGTAATCACACACTCAGATTATTGTTGTCCCTGCAAATTCACTCATTTCCATTTTGTCATCACCTTGTCTTGAGTGGTTATTATGTCTTCCAAGTTACTGGAAGTTATTCCCACTRAAAACCTATTACTTAGACCGATCTCCTGTTATTCTGGATAGACTGCATGATTATATATATATGAAGTTTTATATTTACTTTTCCTGACTGCATACCTGCACTAACAGAAAGAGAACAGGTTTTCTCCATCCCCGTTGCTACATCACATACATTATCACACAACTCCCTCTTTTCCTCTTCCTCAGTTTTTGTTCTTTCACTTCCCAATTCAAGAAGCGAGTCCTTAGGAAATCCTTAGAGAGTTTGKTTAATGATGTCTCCTTACATCGATCCACATGTCAAGACAATAAGTGACAAGGATACGAGGTAAGTGATAGCACTTCTTTGTTTCTATTCTTGGACATCAATAACATTCTGTGCTCCCCCAGGACACGATACTGGCAGAAACACTCAGGAATTGGGTGCCTGGGCCTCCTCTGCGACATTCTCTAGTTTGCAGCAGTTGGGTGTTTCCCTGGCTGGATTCAGATGATCCAAGGGTCAGAGAAACAGCAATAAAGCTGTTATTCTGTGTATCACTATAGCCAGTCAATGTTATGTAAAGCAAAAATAACTGTTATATTGCAAAATGCATTGTCCAATGATTGAAACCTACAAAATGTAGTTAACAACAACAACAAAAAATTCTCTGACCAAACTAACTTATCTGAAGTATTGTAATACAGGAGTAGTTGGCCACAGTACTCAAYTGTAATCAAAAACATGTGCAAAAGAAGGTCCCCACACTGGAGCATTTGTTTAAGTATGTATTTTTTCATGCAATGGGAAATGCATAAAGCRATATGTAAATATCAAAACGTGCATCTTGTCATGTTTTTAACATTCCTTCACATTCTCTCAATTGTTTTTAGGCTTTGCTTCTCTTGAATCTAACCAAGCCTGGGCTCATTCGAACACTTCTGTTTTTCAACATATGGGGGAGCCGGTTGCTCCTGCAAACCAGCTGGTAAGTGGCAAGAAGCAGATTGAAAAACTTGTCATTCCAGACAGGCAGCATGGGAGAGAGCACAAGAGACCCAGCCGTTATGGAGGACTTTAACATGACATACGTAATTACTATAAAGCAGTATTTATATATTTAAGGATGCCATCTTGTTCCACCGACAGGGATTCTTTCAGGTGGGGGGAAGGGGCTAGGCAATTTTAAATGGGCTGCCTTAAAGCGCATTACTTATGAAAAAGAATAAGTCCTTTTGGAGCTTTAGAGAAGTACGTGAATACTCCTCCACTTGGAAGATATTTGGGACAGATCTATTCCCGTATAAAACAGATCATAAAATCCACCCACGGACGTGGCGAGACACACCAAGCCCCCGCGCGGCACGTTGGCTCCGTGTTGGATCTGGTTTCCAGTGGCAATTTTTATTCTCCTCTCAGACCCTACARGCATGGAATGCCAAATTTATTTACATTGGGGTAGGGCTTGGGAGCCAGTATGTACCACAGGCCCCAGTGGAGAATTGCTATAGCTAAGTATTTAGCCTGTTTACAAATATGTGCTTTAGTTACTTTCCTTATAACAGAAAGTACAGAAATAATAGGTAATTTTTTTTTTTTTTTTTACTACAGATTTATTTCTGGGGAAAAGAGAACATTGAAAAAGAATATAAATCGATTTCAAAGCCAAATGCAATGAACGGCTTTTTCCGGTTCATAAAATATCTTATGGTCTTTCCATATTTGAACTGAATAAGCAGGGTGACAATCCATAATTAACTTAACAGAGTGTATTGATATTTCCATAGACTAAAATAGTTCCAGCTTGGATGAATATATAAATTATAGCAAAAATACCTAGGGAGGTCAAGCACACAGYTACAACTGCATTTATTTTCAATTGCAGTTTGCAGGAACTATTTTCTTCTCCTTGCTTGCAGTAACTAACTCTAACTAAATTTAAATCTAATAATTAAAGAAAAAGTAACACATTTCATGTGTGAGAAAAACAAAATCAACAAATAGACTGGTTGTTCAATCTATAAATTAATGAACTTAACTTCACACTTAATCTTTTATATGCTGTAACATATACATGCCATTTACAGAAAATTAATGACTTATGAAAAACTCAAATTTGTGAAATTCTGAAAACAATTTTACTCAGTTTTGGAACATAAGTAAAATTTTAAAGATTTCTAAGGAAAAAATGTTCATAAAACAACTAAAGCATGTGGCTCAAACAAACGTGACCACAAGTCGTAAGGTTCCTGATTCTGCTGCTGCTCCCCAAGTCCTGGATTCTTGTTTTTGTGCAGTGGAAGTGCACCTTTCTGTGGAGGTCCTCGCAGGCCTCAGAACCAGACTTCCTATCACAGAACCCAGATCACRGACAACTCAGAATACGAGCAGAGTAAACCTGCACAGTTTGCCAGGCTCTGAGCAGCTTCTGAGCAATGTGCTAGTCCTGGAGCTCTTTCTCTGAGTGTTTCCAGGTTCCTCCCTGCAGGCTGGAGCTGAAACCTGCACTCCCAGGTTCCTGTCYCTGAAGGGAAGACGTGGGAATTCCTCTGAACTGCAAAGCAGTCTATGGAGTGATGCTGTATTGAAGTATTGTATTTATCAGAACCTATCTGGAACAGATGGGTTTCCAAATAATATTTTAACATCTTTCTGTGAAAACAGCTTTGTCGGAATATTTTCCTACCAGTTTGTCTCAGGAGAGCACAAGTGCCACTTCTATCAGTAGGATTTCTGATCATTAATGGGTACTTCAATTCCTTTTGCAAATTTTAGTCAGTGGATGTAGTCCTGTTTATAGGAGAAGAGTTGAAATGGGCACAAGCAACAAGATAAATAAGCAGTGGCCTTGCTCATTGCTATCCATATATAGTGGATAGCTGAGGAYCGTATGTAAATAGTAATCATGATATTTTTAACGCTTTATTTTTGAAATTTAGGAATGACAAAACAGACTGCATGTGAAGCAGCTAGTTACTTGTTTTTAACTGTACACAGTTATAAAATCTCTTAAATGGATTTCTGCTTTTATTACTTTTAATTCTTACCTATGCTAAATGTTTATAGAATAGAATGCAATACAAATATAACCCTTGAAAGCAACAGTAAGCATAATCTATGCAAAACTAAATCAGGACATGGATTTTTTTTCTGGATATTTCACTTACCACAAATTCTTACATATTAAAACAATTCCAACTTCTCCTGTTATCCTTTAAAAGGACAGGGTGGAGATTTGGGCTGATACCCAGAATCAACTCAACTCTCAGAAGAGATTCCCCTTTTGACTCTGAACTGTAAGGAAAATCTCCATGTTCCTGCTTTGGTGATGGGCACTAACTGCAGGACCTTGTTGCTTCTGAAATTTCACAGGGTCAGTTGCAATAACTTGCATCTGCAATAACTAAATTATAAAATTTAACCTTGGACTTATGATTGCAGCCACAAAACCAGCAGTCAAACTGAGAAATACATTTGCCTTCAACACTCCCTCCAAAGTAAAACAGAACGAAACACTCACCTTATAAAAGAAATTGGTACGTCCCACAGATCCGATTTTTCCTGTGTGGTTCATGAAACATATGTTTCCTTCAGTAGCACCATAAAACTCACAGATCTTAACCGAACCAAATCGGGCTAAGAATTCTCTCCATACATCATTTCGTACTCCATTTCCGATCGCTAGGCGGACTTTGTGATTTTTTTCTCCCTCTTTCTGTTAGAAAAACACACACACAGAAAATATTCTGATCACTATATTTGATTGTTACAAATATGAAGGAAATATACATGCTTAAATAAGTCAAGAATAAAACATAGAAAAATAATAACAACAACCGTTAAATTAAAAGCGGCTTGCATAGCTAGGCTATAGCTACAATGCAACAAACTTTGCAATAAAACATCTCTTACATGTTTGCCACAGTCAAAATATCTGTTATATGTTTGCCAGTAACTTACTATATGAGCAAAATAYTGCCTGAATAATGAGTATATTAATTTGTATAAATTCTGTCATATTTTAAAAAGTGTATCCTGTCATTCTTTTTCCACTTAGGAGAAAGTAGAAAAATTAGAAAACTAATTCCTTCCTAACTTCCTTACAAAATTTGGAATAGTAGAGGAAGGCAGGCACTAATTCTGTCAAGGGATTAAAGTCAGCAGAGATTAATACCTACTTTTTTGCATCTTTGGATTGGTTATAAGAAATAACCAAAATTTCATGCAACTGTTCCTTCTTACTCAAACCATATGAGTCATCTTCTGTATTTTTTTCAGGACTAGCACTTACAGATCTTTCTCAATGTTACTTGGAACACCTCTTTTCCTAGTGATTCTCTGTCTTTACTGTTGTCAGATCTCATGTTTTATTATAAGAACCATGATATTATTCATCTACTACAGTGAGACTCGCTACTTCACTTAATATGTTCCTGAACCATGTAATTCCAAAGAGACCTTAAAAATACATTCAGTTTTAGATTGAAATATTGCAAGGCAAAGCACCTAAAATGAGTTTTTTTACTACTTACAACAGTCTTTTTAATTTTTGCAGGTGCCAATACAGAATACTCTATTAATGAGAAAGAACGAATTAAACCCAGGATTTTTATATCATTTTTATCTCCGATAATATCCTATTTTTATCTCCTATATTTAGTTTGCATAGTGCTTTAGTATGGCTATACTAAACTATATASTATATTCTATATACTATATATACTATACTGCCTGTAAATACATACTTACACACATGCATATTAAGTTATTTTATACATATATATGTGTATAAACAAATTTATGTTTCTTTCTTTGTCTTCCTCTGTGTTGAGTTAATGGTTACCCCTATACATACACTTTTCACAAAAAACAGAAGTCACTGCTTTTTGCTCTTATATTCCAGTTTATTTATCCTCCCTGTCCCTGCTGAGGTCACCTATGCAGGCCATGAAGCACCGAGGGTGCTGGCGGAAAGGAAGCTCTCTGAACTCCGCAGCTTTAAAGCAAGGAAGTGCCCAGTGCCAGAACTGGTAGGGAGGTGGCTGGAATGAAATGCAGGGAGGTTTTCACAGGGACAGTAAGTTCTCCTCTCTGTCCCAAAAGGTGCATGCAGAGAAACAGTTCTGCCATAAATCGGGAAGATTAAGTTCTCTTCTTCCCTCTTTAAGATCACAGGTGGAAGAAAAATTCTTTCACTGAGTTTCAGAGTCTCTCCTGAATGATCCAGCAATAAATCCACATATTTCACTATAGGCAGGTAGCTCCTAGCAGGCCAGGATCTGGTATATCACCATCCTGCTATACTACTCTAAAATGCATCTCCTTCTATAGGGAGCCCCCCTCTATCTCTGACCGTTCTCTTTGAGTATTTACTTACATTACTTCAGCCTTGATAGTGATTTCTAAATGGTAATCATATACTTCATTAAGTTACTGTCAAACTTATCAACATAAACTGCATTACAAAGTACACGGAAATTGCAAATGGAGACTGTCAGTAACAAAGTTTATGAAATGCTCAGGGAGGTAATTTTTTTAGTAGTTTCATTTTTCAACTTTAGATGCAGTATCGCAGTGCAACAGTGCAGATTCTCACATGTCTGAAATAACGTTTATCACATTACATATTCACATATATGTGTATATACACACCTCCATATACACGTATATACATATGTATACGCATTCTCACATATATGTATGTATATTTATTTGTTTGTTTCCGTCCTACTTTGAGCATTGTCAGGAAAGCTTTTAACCCTTTTTCCAGAAAACTGCCCTCTGCCTCCGTCTGTGACACGTCACGWTGCCCTTCAGCTTTGTAAAGAACCTGCAGTTAATGTGTTAGCGGGTGAAGGGCAGTGACCCCTCCCGAGGTCACCGAGTTACTCAAACGCACAGGCTCTGCTAACGCACCAGGAAGAGGACAGGAGACCCTTTCACAGGAATAACGTTCCGGCACAATGAACAGATACACGCGTAGGTATGCACGCCAACTGAGTGGGTCACGCACCAGACTTGGCATTCAAACTCTCCAAAAATCAACTTAATAAACAAGTAGCAGTTACATATGGCTTCTTTTTCCCTCCAAGAAGGATAAATGGAGCATTGTTTATAGGGCCAGCTATGTCAATGCCTTGTTCTTTCCTGGCTGGGTGTATCAGTAGCGTGGTGCTCGTGGCTCCTCCGCTGCACGGCCGGCAGCGTCGCTGAGCCGGCGGCCGGGGCTCCTCCGTGTCAGAGCCTGTTGACCGCTCGGCGCCGCGCAGGGCCGGCTGCTGCGCTCCCGGGGAGGCTCCCGCAGCGCTCCGCCCTTTCCAGAAGCACAGGGAGCGTGCAGGAAGTTACAGAAGCCTGGCTGCACGAAGCAAGTTTTCCTCAAGCACCTTGTCACACATCCTTCACRGCTGAGCGGCATTTCCTTTCAGACCGCCCTGCCACAACCGCAGGGCTTGTGGTTTGGCCAGCTCTGCCACAGAGCACCCTCTGTCCATGCCAGAGTCACCGAAGAGCAGCGCGGAGCCTTCCAGAGCAAAAAACGTACCACTGTCACACATCTCAGCCGTCTTTCAACCATGGGAAGGGAAAACCCRTGCCATAGAATCTCCTACTGTTAAAAGTTTAGAAAGTATAAAAAGATTATTAATGAGGGAAACTTTAATCAACGCTAATCCAGAATAGTTTTACATGTAACTAATTTCATATAACTCTCTTTTAATTATTTTTAATTTATGATTTTAGTTTTGATCTGTTTTACTAGATGACCTTAATCCTGTGAGCTTTATGTCCACCTAGCTTGCTATGGAAAGTTACCTTTCCGCTTTGACTAAAATGTGCATAACCCTTTCAATGAGACATTTTTCATGGATTAGTCTATCGGCATTTGTCATTTCACAGTCATCGCCAGAGCCCAGCTTTGGTGCACACATATAGGCACACGCACAGGCACAGGCACATGCAGGTCACTGTGGCAGAAAGCTTAGGCTCTGWATTACATGTAGGAAGAAAGAGAAAGGAAGGGTGTTAACCCAACAAGTTCTAGAAATGCAGAGAAYGAGCGTGAACATTTAGGGTGTTTGATACGTGTGAAAATCCAACTAAGCTAAACGCACAGGCACTTATGCTCTAAACAGWTTAGGGCACCAGGTAGTTGGGCTTTGACTTCCGCCGCGCTCGGACGTAACCAGAAGCCGCCCTCCAGTTTCCATGTGGCCCCGCAGGACACAGTGCAGGGCGGCTCGCGTGGCAGCTGCCCTTGCTGGCGGGTCCGCGCGGGTTGTGGGTCGCACTGCGCCTGCCCGCCCCATGGCAGCAGCCCCACACAGTCCTGCCTGCCGCAGGCCTCCTGCTCTGCCCTGGCTTGTGGGTCGCAGTGTCCCTGCCTGCCCCACGGCAGCAACCCCACGCGGCCCTGCCTGCCGCAGGTCTCCTGCTCTGCCCCGGGCTGTGGGTCACGGTGCCCCTGCCCGCCCCACGGCAGCAGCCCCACACAGTCCTGCCTGCCGCAGGCCTCCTGCTCTGCGCCAGTTTGTGGGTCGCAGTGCCCCTGCCTGCCCCACAGCAGCAACCCCACGCGGCCCTGCCTGCCGCAGGTCTCCTGCTCTGCCCCGGGCTGTGGGTCACGGTGCCCCTGCCCTGCCCCACGGCAGCAGCCCCACACAGTCCTGCCTGCTGCAGGCCTCCTGCTCAGCCCCGGGTCACTGCCACCCAGGGGTCCAAACACCTTGTGCCACATGAATATTCATTGAGGYTTCATGGTGTGAACAATGCGAACCCAGCTGTAGGTAGCAACAAAGGTAAAACAATAGCTTTCTCAAGCAATAACAAGCAAGCATTGTTCTTACCTTGCAGCTGGGCTTTCCTACACCAAGCCAAGTGTAGGAACGGAGCCTCCAGCCAAGCTCCTGGAATCCCATACCGAACATCTGCATGTCTCCTAAATCAGTTTTTGACACTCCATTTCTCCATTTTGAGTGACTGATTCATTTGTATAGTAATTAATTGACAAGTCAAGATCTGCCTTATTATACTAAACACCACATTGCTGTGATTTTTCATTTGACAGTCTTTCCTTCTTAAATGTTCTCTGTAAACTAAATAAACCATACATGATTTAGTCACTGATAAATGAAACGCCCTTTAAAGTGCCATCAACAACATATTAATTGGGTGTGGGAAAGATTAATGACTGTAGCTATACAGAAAGATATTCAGCAGTTGCTTTAAAAGAATCCAAGAACATAGATGCATTGTCCAACTTTTGTCATTTCTGCAACAGGAAATGCTGAGTGGGAGAGAAGTAATAGCAACTTCAAGCAGAAAAAAAATGAAATGTTTCTTTTTTGTGGCCTTGGTGAAACCAAACACATCTTAGGGCCTGAGAAATTCAAACATCTGTTAAATATAAAATTCATACAGGCCACATGAGATTTACATTCATCTATTTGCAAGAAGTGTATGCAACAATACGTTCACCAAAACCCTRCTAAAACCAAAACAAAAATAAAGAAAAAAGAAAAAAGACAAAAGCAGCAGGTGGGTAGTACAGTGAGTATGAGATGAGAGATATTCTACTGCCATTCTATTGATAGATGCAATTAATTCTTCAGGATAAACATTCATGTTCACTTTCCAGTAATATCCCATTATGAATTGCAACCAGATTTCTTTGGAGAGAAATACATACTCAAATTAAAAAAAAAAAAAAAAAAAAAA